ATAAAAATAAATGTTTAATTATTACTTAAAAATCAATCAAAAAATTGATAAATTGAATTTTTTTTACCATTGATTTACATAAATATAAATAGCATTATTCTAAATATAATATAATTTTACTATAATATATTATGAATTAATATTATATTTATGAAATTAACTTATAATTAATAAAGAAATCTTATTTTATTATGCCAAACTGTAAAAATAAATTATATTTTAATAATAAAATATTAAATAAATTTATTGCCATTTTGCTTTATATGATATTTTTTAATAATGTATATTTTCGAAAATATATTTTTTAAATGATAAACATAAAATCAAAATATGTTTCTTTTTTAAATTATTAATGATATAAAAATGCAAGATTATTTATATATTAATATAAATACATAATAAAATCTATTCAATCATCTTCCTCTTCACCTTCTTCTTCTTCTTCTGGTTCTTACCAATTTAATTTAGTTTTAAATTAAGAAATGAATTATGATTAAGTTTTAAGAACATTTTAAGCGCATACATCTAAAAATAATATATAATTTTATTTATAATTTGTTTATTATTATATTTTATTTTAAAAAAAAAACCAAAGCAATCTTGATCTTGTTTTGATAATAATTAGGTCTTGCTTGCGAAAATATTACAACTTAAAGCACATATTTTACTTAATTTTAAATTAAGTAAAAACTTATCTCTTATTCTTATTTAATCTTATACTTCTTCAGTATATATTCTTTCTAATGACATTTTTAATTTTTTTTGTTTAATTTAATTTTTTTCCTCTTTTTGTAATTTTATTTTTGATTGAATATAAATTATTAAAATATTAGATTTTTTATTTTTATTAATAAATATAATTATATATGTGTTGAAATTTATTAAATCATAAAAAAATTATGTTTTTTTACATTTTATAGTATAATATTTTATTTTAAAAGTATTAAATATCTAAATTATTTGTTTTTAGTCTATTAAATTTTAATTGCTATTTTTAAAGATTTTTTTTACATGTAAATCCTCAAGATAAAAATAAATAAAAAAATTAAATTAGTAAAAATATAGTTGAGTTATTGATAGAATATTTAAATATATTTGCAAACAAATTTATTAAAATTATATACTATTTAATAAAAATTATGTAAATAAGTATATATAAAAACACATATATATATTTATATATTAAAAAAAAATTATAATATGTTTTTTTGAAATCAAATAAATTAATAGGATTTAAAATAACAATGGATTTTTATAATATTTTATTTTCAATTAATTTAATTTTTTTAATTTTCATTTAAACAATAGCATATAAATTATTTAATTATCATCAAAACTTTATTTAGAACAGATTTATATCCAATCATATATTAAAGTATTTCTTAAAATTTTAAAACTATTTTTATTTTAAAGTCCTCTATCTTTTAAAAACTCATCAATACTTTTTTCTGTAATTGTATCGTATCCATGAAAAACAAAAGAAATGTCTTATTTTTTTATAAACTTAATTTACTTTTATATTTAATATTTTAATGTCTCACATTTTATAAATTCTAAAATTCTTCCTATTCTATTTATTCTTAATATTTTTTATATTGTATTTGTACCTGTTATATATTACATACAAAGAAATTTACATATGTTTTCAAGTTCTTAAGAATCGAAATCCAAATAATTTAATTTTATATTGTTTAAGTTTTATAAAAATATATCTCTTTATAGTAATTAAGGATTATATTTTTTTAAAAGTTAAACTAAGTATTTATGTGCCTCATCTTACTATGTTTCAAACTGCTCTTTTTTTATTTCATGGCCTAATGCAAAATATTAAGGAATTGAATTTGGAAATAAATATAAATAAGCGGGTAATAATAAGCTAGAACCTGGAATAATAATAAAAAATGAAAAGGGAAGCAATTTAAATAAATTAGATTTTATTTTTTATTCTTCTTTTAATTAAAGAGGATCAAGTTTTTGATTCTTTTTAATTTTTATAAAATGAATTAATCTATGTGTACTTTAATAAGATTAAACACATCCTCTTATAAATAATTTTATTTAATTAAATAAATTTTATTTGTATTTTTAAAATTAAAAATACATTTATAAATAATTATAATATAGTTTTATGAATTAACTAATTAAAATATGATAAAAGCTAATTAATTTTTTTTAAAAAAAAAAAAAAATTAATATTTTAAAATATATATTCATAAAAAAAATTAATTTATAATATTAAATAAATGCAAGTAAAATATTTAAAAAATAAAAATAAGTTATATTTAATTCACATATTTATAAATTTAAATAATTATAAAAATAATAATTAATAATAAAAATAATTTTTTTTTTAATTAATATATAACATAAAAATAATTTAATTTGTATTTTTATTATATTTTATGTTTTATATATTATATTATTAAATTAAATGTATTTATGTTAATATTTTTATTTAAAAATAAATAGCTCTTAATTATTTATTATTTACTAAATTTTAGTTTTTTATATATAAAATTATATATTTTATATTTTGGTTTTTATTATGAATATTATTTGTATTTATTCAAATATATTAAAAAAAAAGTGAAGAAATATTAATTCTAATATAAATATTTCTAAAATTTGTATTTCAAATAATTCAAAGTTTTTAAGTATTATTTATTATCTAATAATTTTTTTTTTTTAATCAAAATACTATTTAATATTAACTGAATTCTAATTATTTAAGTTTAATAATCTTTAAAAATCGCAATATTTTTAAAACTAATTCATATTTTCAGATTTTTTTAGTATTATGCGACTAATAGAATAAATGAAGATAGTTTTTATCCAAAACCAAATCAAAGTGTTTAAAATAATTAACACTAATACATTATAATTTAATACATGATAAAGTTTCTCATAAATCCAATTAAATAATGAAAATATAAAGACCTATCAATTAAATTCAAAAGGAAAATATTTAAAATTGCAAAAGTTGAAAAAAAGACTATTTTATTAATAGTCGAATATTTAGATATATTTATCTATAAGATTTTTTAAATACTATTCCTTATAGTACTTTTAATAATAATTTCTTGAAAAAAAATAACTTTAGCACATTTTACTAAATCCTATAAGTAGCTATATTATTTTTAATAAATATATTAATAAAAATAAAATCATTTTTTTTTTGAGAATATTTAATAATGGTAAAGAAGTAAATAATATACAATTATTTACAGAATTAATTACTTTGTGATTCAATTTTTATTATGTAGTTTGATTATTTATATTATTATTTAACGTAAAGTATAAATACAATTTTTACGTTTTATATTTTTTTTGCTTTAATTTATTTAATTATTACCAAATTAGAATTTTTAATTAATAAAATGATTTTACAAATAACACATTTTACTCAACTTTTTATCTCATATTTTTAGATTATTATTACTGTTATTGTGCCTTATAACTTGTAAAATTAGACTTGAATATAAATAAAAATATTATGAATATTAAAATTTGGACTCATTTAAATTAATATTATTTTGTTTTTGGTACTATTATAACTGTAGGATATTGAAATATTAACCCTTATAATGATTATGAGATGGTCTTATGTTTGTTTATTATTTTTATAGTTTGTTTCCTTTGCTTTTGTGTACACTTTAAATAGTATAGGATATATATTTAATGATTTCTAAATAAAGTTAAAATAAAGAAAATAAAATATAAAAGTAATTTGGAATAAAACTTCTATAAGAAATACAGTAGATTAAAAAACTTTAAATAAAAATATTTAATTTTAAAAAGAAAAAATATATATTTTATTGTATAATTAAATATATATATTTTTTTTGTAAAAATATATTTATAAATTATTATAATAATAAATTTTTTCTAAATTATTAAATCCTAAATATAAATACTAATGTTTTTTTTTAATCAATTGTTAAATTTTTAAATCATTCTAAATTAAATTTAAAATTGAATCCCCTTTTTATTATCTCGTATAACATAGTATTTTCCATATTTGCATAAACAGAATTGTTATTAACATTATCATATATTTCTATAGATGGTTTTCTTTTTAATATATATATATATATATATATATATATATATATATATATATATATATATATATATGATTAAAAGAATTTTAATTCTTTACTTAAATTCCACTTAATATTTTTAATTCTTATGTTCAATTTAAAAATTAAATTTTTGACGTCTATATTATTCTAAATTTTCTATTGAAAATTCCTCGAAAGAATCAATTGATATTTATTACTCGTTTTAAAATTGTAAATCTACTTAGTTTCTATTTTTTATATTTTATATTTATACGTTTTATTAAACTATTTCTTCGATAGTTTTTTTATTGTTTATAATATTTTTAAGTATAGTATAAAATTAATTGAAATTAAGGACTATTTTTGCATTTCCTTTTAAACTCTTATTTTTTAATAATATTTAAGCTGAACTTTTATTTTATTTAAAAAAATAAAATATAAATAATTTTTAATAAATACCAAAATGTAGCTGTATAATATAGATTATTATAAGAAAAACTTTATTTATAAACTTTATTTTATAATATTTATTCATTAAATTGTTTAATTGCTTTTTTTTTTTTGGTATATAATTTTATAATTTTTTGTTTTATTTTTTGCTTACAATCTTCAATTAACAATATAGGAAAAGCTTATTTTTATTCATCATATTAAGTATATTTTATTTTATAATTACTACTTTCTTTATTTTAAGTTTAAACTTCATATTATTATTAGATTTGAATATCTACATTGTCTTCATAACTTTAATATTAAATTTAATTGATATTATTTTTTTATATGTATTTTTGGCTTGGTAATTTTTCATTTTATGCTTTGAAATTTAAATATTCTTCATAAGAAAAGTATGAAAGCTTTAAAAAAAAATATATAAAATAATTTAACAAAAAAAATTACTATCTATTTTTAATCTTAGAAATTAAATTTAAGTAATTAGATAATTTGATGTTTATTTAAAAAAAACTTTTGCGAATAATCATTTTCTTAAATGTAAAATTCTAAATAAGGAAATATAACATTAAGCTCATTCTCTTCTGTTTAAATTTAAATTTATTCAGGAAATTACTCATTTATATTATTATTTTCATCTTAATTTGGGAGTAATTATGAAAATGCTTAGAAATCAAAAATAAATGAATTATGTTTTATATTTGTACAAAATTTAAATAAATCTAATATTTCATGTAAATTAAAATTATCAATTAAATAAAATAAATCAGAAAAATTTAAATATTCTTCAATTTCTTCACCTTCATGTTCAACTTTAATTGATTTGAAAATAATTTATAAGTCAAATTATTATTTATATATAGTTTATAATTCAAACTAAATCCTATTATCAATTTGTTCCATATTTTTTTTTGCTCTGGTTTTCGCCTATTTTTAATTGCCATTTTTTAAAAAAAATTCTTTATAATATTGTAATCTTTTATTTTATTTATCTTTTTCTCCAAATTTTTGCTTTTATGATATTTTTGTAATGTCTCTAAATGGTCTTTTTTAAAATAATAATTATCTTTTATTTTTAAAAAATTATACCTATCACATAAATTTCCAAAATTTCTTGAAGTATAATCAAAATCTTAAAATATTGACTCTTTTTTTAATATATAATAAATTTTATATTTTCTTAGTATTTAATTTAACATCTAGGAACATCTAAAGGAGAAATATTAAAATCTATTTATTCAAAACCTCCTTTTGTTACATGTTTATTTGATCTTTGTGATCTTTTATGTTTTTTGAAAAAAAAGAAAGTTTATTTTTAGAAGTTTCATAAAAAATTTGTTTTTATATTTTTTAAAAAAGTATATTTTCATCCAATTTTTAGTTACTTTTGTGAGTTAATCATAAAATTTCGATAAGATGAAGATTCTAATAACTTTTTAGTTTATTTTAGTACATCCAATAATTATGAAGAATTGTGAATAAAATCTTAATTTTACATTTTTTTGATATCGTTATTAAATGTTAAAAATATAATTTTTAATAAAATAAAATTTTTTTGGAAATTATTATATTTTTGTGTTTTTTTATATTTGCAATAAAATTAAATAATAAATATTTTAATTAATTATTATAAAAAAAAATATAGATAAGAATATTAATTTTGTAATTATATTTTTATATAATAAACAAAGTTTATTTTATAAATAAATTTATTTAAATATATTTTTGTATGTAAAAAGTTTTTTATATAAAATAAATACTTAAATATTTTAAATAAATAACTCATACAGTAAACAAAAGCTTATTTATATTATGCTATTTTTTTTTTAATAAAATTTATTTTAATATATTAATATATTTAATAATTTTAAAATATTGGCTATAAATAAATAAATTCAATCCTTCATATTAAAGTATGAAAATACTTTTGATGTCTTTATTTCACTTTTAAATAGTTTTTAATTAATATGTTAAAAAAAATTTTGGTATTTTTATTTATTCTCTTTATAGCTTTTTGTAATGCTTTAGAAGTTTCATTTTAATTAAATCATAAATAATTTAGGCTGTTAGGAGTATAGGCATTAATAATGCAAAAACTTTTTTTCGGTAATTGTTTTTGTTAATAATTATTTTCTCCTAATAATATTTAACATTATTTAAAATCAAAAAATTTATAAATGTAATCTTACTCTTCATTTTTATTATTTTTTAATTTATGTATATTTATATTTTAATTAGAACTATAATTATTCACATCTTCATTTTATTTAAGAAATTAAAATTTTATTTAATTAATTCTATTTTAAATTTTATTGATTTTTATATTTTTAAGTTAAAGAATTTTATTATTATGAATTTTTTAATCACTAATTTACGTTAATTTTTAAAAATATTTTTCTTTATATTCATTTTTTTCTTTATCTTGCTTTTTTAACATTTTATAATATTTATGATTTTCAAAATGTAGAGTAAATTTTATTGACTTTTAATTATTTTTACTGAAATTCTCCATCAAATTATTATCAACTTCTTTGTTTATTTAAGTTTAAAACACATAATAATACTAAACTTTATTTTTTTCAAATTTTTAAATAAAAATCTAAAGATGAACTTGTCTATAAATTTAATTTAAAAATAAATAGTTAATCATTATAAGCGTAAATACAAACTTTTTTTCTTAATAAATTTATTTTCTTTAACTAAATGATGTTTAATTTAATTCATATTTTATTCTAATATTTTTTTAAAAATTTATTAATTCTTAATAGGTAAAAAAATTAAATTATTTATAAATAATTTTTAATATATATTATATATATTTAATAAATATTTTTTTTAATATTTTTTTATTAAAATTTCATATTAAATATACTTATATTTTATATATTTAATTGTATGTCTAATGCATATTTAATTATCTATTTATTTACTTGTATTTATAATATATTAAAAATTAAATATTAACTTTAAAGCATGGTTATGAACAAAATTTAAACATACAATGCTTTACGATAAATATTTTATTTACCTTATTTTATTTTACCTCTAAAACAATTCGTGCACGTCAAAATTTTATCTGATAAAAATGGCTTATAAAATATTGTTTTTCACTATGATGTTGTGTTTTTGGTATTTAAAAAACAATATCTAATCTATTAGAAGAATAATTTATGTCAAGTAAAAATCTAATTTTATATTTAATTATATTAAATATTAAGGCTAACTAAAAAAATTGAGATAAAAAAGAGCCTTTTTAAAATGAGTGAAGCTGAACAAAAAAAAATATAAATATCTAAATATCTAAATTAATAAAGAAAATTTAAAAATAATAAAAATAAAAAGAAACAAAATTAATTATTTATAATTATAATGATTATATGAAAACTTAAAAATATGGAAACTGAAAAAATTATAGAGATAGAATTAAATTAAGAAGATTAACAGAAACATATAAAATTTAAGAACTTTAAAATCTTTTGTAATTTAAAATATCAAAAAACATTAAAAACTATAAAAAATTATTTAATATTATTTAAATTAATAAAAATGAATAAAATAAAACTTTCGATTAATTTACTTAATAAACTATAGAAAATTCAAAGATATAAACTCCTTATAGATAATGAAGAAATAATTTATAAAAAAATATTAACATTTATAATTATATTTTAAATATTATTTTAATTTATATTTATAAGAAAAGTGAAAGGAAAAATTATATTTTTATATTTTAGAAGAAAAAAATTTAATATAAAATAAAATAAAAAAAAAAATTTTAATGTAAAATAAAAAATAAAAAAAAAATATTTTTTTTTCTTTTATAAACAAATAAAATAAAGTAAAATACATTAATAAAAATAAAATTTAATAGTTTCAATTAAAAATAGAAAGAAATAACAAATATAAAATATGCTAATTTCAATAAATGAAATTTAATTTATTTCAAAAAACCAGAAAACAAATATTAGTTTTTATATATTAATTTAAAATATAAAGAAAAAATTGTTTAATTATATAATAGAAATAATTTAAAAATATAAAAATTTTATTTAAAAAAACTATAATATATAAATAAAATTCTAAAAAAATATATAATATTTATATGAATAAAATATTAATTAATTAAATATTGAAAAAATATTAATTTTCGTTAGAAACTCTATAAGGATTAAATATTTTTTTTTTTCATTCTTAAACAAAAGAAATATTTAATTCTTAAAAAAGTTCATTTAAGTTCCAAAGTTTGATACGTAGATGGAATTTCTTGTTTAATTTAAAGAAAATTTATAATTTTACATTTCATAATCAAAAAAAAATTCGGTTATCCTATTCCCTATTCACTTTTTTATATAAATAAAATAATATTATGGTAGAAAGAAATTTCAACAATGATAGTTAAATTCTTAGTAATTTTAAGAATTTAAAATATTTTAATTGAAAAGTATATATTAATTGTTAAAAATATTTCTTAAATAGTTTGTTTTTTATATTTTAGTATTTTATGATACGATGAAAATTACCCATTAAAATTAAAAAAAAAAAATTGTATCACATATAGCTATTCGTATTTTTACACATATATTTATGGAAACTTCGCATTTTATGTATTTCTACACTAATTATAAATTTAAATATATTAGAAAGTTCTTAAATCCCAAAGTTTTAGAATGCCTTCACCATCATTTGATATGCATATAGGAGTGTTTGCTATATTTAAAATGCAGTTTAAGAGACAAATATGTCCTTTTAATTAAGAAATATGTGTATAAATTTTATTTTCATTTTCGATTTTAAAAAAATGTATAGTATTTTCGAAATCTGAAACAAGTAAATAATTAAATTTTGGGATTGTCATCAAATACACACGTTTTTGTTAAAAATCAATCCTATGTTTTAAGAAATCTATTATATATATATTTTTTTGTTCTCAAAGAGACCAAATTTAAATTCTATAATGGAACAACTTATGCTATTTTTCCAGAAAAACCAAAATCATATGCTTTTTAAATTTTTTCATATACTATTTTAAAATTATTTTATTTCTTTATTTAAATGAGAAATATAATCAGTTAAAAATATTCTTTTACAAATTCTTGCAACATTTGTTTAAAAATATTTTTCTTACATTATATACATTATATTTTTTATGGGTTTAAATATAATTAATAATTGAAATCACAAATTGAGTTTTTTATATCAGTGAAAGTTATTTATTTTGAACGGTAAAATTAAAGGTTCAATTTATAAATAAATATTATATTATTAAATAATTAGTTTTTAATTTTAATTAAAACAATTTAACTATAAAATTATTATAATTAATTAAATAAATGATTATTCTTATAATCCTTTTTTATATTTTAAATATGATAATTTTATTTTTGTTTTACTTTTCTATGATCTATGATATTTTGTTAACTATTCATTTCTATATTTTGATATTAAATTTTTATTATAAATTAATAAGTTTTTTTCTTATTTATTATTTGCTATATGGTTGAATTGAAATAATATTATTTTCGCACTATTTTATAATTGAAAAATTTAAATTAATTTCTAAAATAATATATAATGTATAATAAATTTTTAAAATTCCAAACTACCAAATTTTATTACATAGAATCCTAAAAATAAATAAAAAATACGTATCATTTTATATTTTAGAAAAAAAAAAAAAAGAGGAAAAAAAAAATCTAAATTAGAAATAAAATAAAAATTAAAAAAATAATATTAAATGACTCCGCCTAAAAAAGATAAAGACAACATAAATAGCAATCTGCAAACACCCTAAATAATTGAACAAATACCAAAATCCCCAAATTTAGATTGCGATTCACCTCTTCAAAAATTTCGAACACATTAAATAACTACCTTAACAAAAGACTTAAAACTAGATAACCAAAACCTAAACAAATATCAATTTATTCGAGAACCATGTACACGTAAATTCACTCCTGACTATTCTAAGTTAGTTTCCATCGACAAAATATATAAAGCATATAAAAATATCAGAAATACCGTTGTAAGGACTCCTCTTACACATAGTTATTTCCTAAGTTAAAAATATGGAGCCAATATATATTTAAAAAGGGAAGATTAGTAGGTAGTTCGTTCATTCAAATTAAGAGGAGCTTACAATAAATTCCTTTAACTTTCTAAAGAAGATAAACAAAAAGGCATTGTATGTGCCAGTGCGGGTAACCATGCTTAAGGAGTGGCTTATTGCTGTAATAAATTGAAAGTATAAGGAATTATTTTTATGCCAACGAATGCTCCTAGTATCAAATTGAGGAGTGTACGTAGTTTTGGAGGTGATTATATTAAGATTTAATAGGTAGGTGAAAATTTTGATGAATGTTCTAAAGCTGCAAAAGAATATAGCAATAAAAATAATTCTACTTTTGTTCATGCATATGATGATGAAGCAATAATTGCAGGATAAGGAACAGTTGCAGTGGAAATACTAGAAGATTTTAAAGGAAATATTGATTATGTATTTTGCTGTGTAGGAGGCGGAGGGCTTTGTGCAGGTATAGGAAGCTATTTTAAGCATGTTTCGCCAGATACCGTACTTGTGCCATGTGAACCTAGTGTATATTTATATATAATAAATAAGTTTCTATTTATTCTATTTAAAAATAAAGGGATGCCCTTCGATGAAATTAGCTATAGAAACAGGAAAACCGGAACCTTTGCAAAAAGTGAATCCTTTTGTAGATGGAGCAGCAGTGGGAATTCCGGGTATCAGAACTCATGAAATTTTAAGTAATTTAGTTGATTCTATTTTGCTTATACCTGAAGGGGTTGTCTGTTAATCTTTATTAGAATTATATAATATGGAATCTATTGTATGCGAACCTGCTGGGGCTTTAGCTATTTCTGGAGTATGATTTTATTTAAATATATATATATATATAATATTCTATAAAATAAAATAGTTAAATTATTATTAAGATGAAATTAAAGGAAAAAATGTTGTATGTATAATTAGTGGGTCAAATAATGACCTTTCAAGATTGACTGATATGAAAATGCTTTCATAAATTGAATATGGGATTTTGCATTATATGTTGGTAGATTTTCACTAAAAACCGGGATCATTAAGAGAATTTATTATGAATTGCATGGAAAATGAAGATGATATTGTTAGTATTGAATACACAAAAAAAAATAATAGGGAAAGAGGACCAGCTGTTGTAAGTATTGAATGCCCTTCTAGAGAAAATTTTGAAAAAATCAAAGAAAAAATGGCTAAAATAAATATTAATTACAAAATTTTGCTTCCAGGAGACCAAATGTTTAATTTGTTATTATGAAAAAAATTAAATACATTATAAGAATATGAAAACAAAATAATATAATTTTTTATATAATCACATCTATAATTAAAATCTTAAGAAAAAAAACATAGTCTTATTATATATCAGTTCAAATTTTATCTTAGGATTTTTCTTCTTCTTCTGGCACTTCTTCAAGTTTATTCAACTATTAATAAGCTTCTTTTTTATCTTAAGTAATTGAAACATTAAGTATTCCACTGTTTTCATTAAGCATTCCAGTATTTTTCGATAAATATTCCCATTATTCGATGGAATTATTTAAATTATTAATATTAACTTACAGTTCTCCTTCATAAAAGTCATTCAAATTCTACCATAAAGGCAATACTATTACATTTAAAAAACTTTTTTCGGCTTTTGACATAATTGGTAATTAATCTAAATCTTTCATAAAGGCTGTTTATGAAACTCCTCTAAGTCCTTCTTCTTAATATTACATAAAAAACTCTTAATTTATTTTTTCTGACCATTGTTTTGACAAAGGGAATTTTTTCGATGCTCCAGTGAAATCGGCTGTATGAATGATCATTCCAGTTAATAATTCTATTTCATTTTCATTATTTTCTTTATTCATTATTTCTGTTACTTTATCTCCGGCGTTTTTCCAGTATATTTCGAAGTCTTAAAGAAGCTTAAAATGCTATTTTATGTCCGTCTATAAAATGTTAGACACCATTTATCGCCTTACATTGGCGTATTATAACGTATTCAACCCTCCCAGTACATTACATTATTATCTTTTCATTATTTTAAATGTTTTGGCCAAATGGTGTTATTCCAAAACTGATTTATCATGGTATCTTATCGCCAATTTGGATAATACGGCGATTTCAAAATTATTATTTTTGCCTGTATGTCCCACATCATGACATAATCCAGAAAATATAAGTGCAAAAGATTCTAAATTTTTTAGTATTTATTTCACTTTTTGGCAATTAGCTAACATATGGCAACATTACATGACTGCCAGACCATGTGAGAAATTATGGAATTTATTTTTATTTTTATTGTATCCTTTTTATAATTATACAATAAAATTTACAAAAACAGATTCTTGAATGTTATAAAGAGAAACAAAATTTCCTTTTTATAAAATTTGCCAGGCAATTGTGTACATTTGTTCGTTTGTTTAAAGTTCCAAAACATTAAAATCCCATTCATCTATACTTGAAGAAGTCCTTATATTTTCATGTAAAGATGTTTATAAATTATTTAAATCTATTTTTTCAATAATCTGAGATTATCTAGTATTATTAGTGTATTCATTTAATTTAGTATTAAAGAATAAAGATTTGTTTTTCTGTTATTTTTCTGTGAACAATTCTATTTGTGTATTTCCATATTTTTCCTACACTTTTTCTTCAGTAGTTTTAGTATTAAATTTCGAGTAAAGTTTCTTTAAAATTCCCTTTAACCTCGGATCATTATATTCTTATGTATTTAAATTATATAAAATATCATCTAATTAAAAATTAGATTCCAAATTAGCACATGTTTCTCCAAAACTGTCATCTTACATATTAATAAAAGCCCCTTTTACAACCATATATTCATTACTGGGTACTATCTACACATATATTTAGGCTTCAGGGAGGCTTTGTAAACTTATCCAGGTATTAGGACGTTTCATATAGGATTTCAATCTCGAATTTTTGCTTGTATTCGATATAAAAGACTTATTATTAGAAGCAATCTCATTATTATTTGAATGAATATGGCTTAAATCTTCATCTTGAAAGAATATGTCCTCTTTTTATTTTTTTTCTTATTCGTTTATTGATAGGCCGAAATATTCGATAATTTATTCGAATTCATTACAAAAATATTCCTTATTTTGAAAAGCTTCTCGTATAGAGAGCATTCTTTCTTGTAGAATTTTACTGGAAATCTCCATAAGAGAACTTTTAGAACTTGAAATGAATTTAAGAAAACCTTTTTTAGAAATATCAAGGAAAACCTAATAATTTGATCTCAACATCATTTTATAAATGAAAGTTTTTTCTTATATTTTTATTCTGAATTGTTTGAATTTATTATAAAAATGTTACATTTCTAATAAAACTTCATATGTTTGGTCATCTTCTTTTTCCTAAAAATTAAAAATAAAATTAAAATCTAAATCTTCAAAAATATTTTCAATTTTTTCAACTTAATCTTCTTTTTTTTAATTTCTATTTGACATTTTATTCCAAAAAACTCTTTAAAACATTAACAAAAAGTATCAATTAGTAAATGATTTCCCAAATTTACAAAATTAACACTAATATCAAGAATACATTACTAATAATAATTCTAAGGCATCAAATTCATATTCGAAATGAGAAAATTAATACCAAAAAACGCTTCTTTTTAGTTTATTTCTAGAGATAAATCATTTTTTAAAAAACCTGTTTTAAAATCTTTTTCGAAGTCTTTTTTTTCTAAAAATTTATATCCAATTATTGATATTTCTCTATTTTTTTTAAGTTTTATTATATATGTTTTGTAGGCTTTTTCATCAAATAAATATTTATAAATTATTGGGTATTTTTATTATAATTAAGAGTCAATTAATATGAAATTATTTTCATTTTAAAAAGCATTTATTTCTTCCGAAAGATTTTAATTATGCATTTTTTCAATTTAAAAACCATTAAAATGCACTATTTCTTCAATTAGTGAATCATCTGAAATCACTAAAGAATTAGAAATTTCAGCTGAAGATATTTTTTATGTATTCTTGCATTAAAGGAAGACGAATAAGTCAGCATTTGTTAATTTATTTATGAGAAATTTGAAATTATGTATTAAAGATTGTTAAGAAATATCTTTTGTGAATAGTTAAGAAGCACAGAGAAGATTTTTGTAAATTTACTTGATTTTTTTGTAGGATTCATATAAAAATAATATGCTTTTTTGAGAATTGGATGATGTTTCAAGAAGTTTTTAGAGCTTTTTATGTATATTTTCTAATAATTAAGGATTTTATTGTAGTTTTGCTCTATTTATTTCTATGTATTTCAAAAACTCTTATATTTATGTGCTTTTTTGTGTATACTATTTTTTTATATTTTTAACTTTCTTTAATATATATTTTTTTTTATTGAAATAAAACTTTTTACAGTATTGTTTTACTTAAATTTTCCATTTATTTATAAATTATTTAGTTAAAGTTTTTCAGGCTGGTTTTCGTTTGTGGGTAAATCTTTAGAAAAATATTCAGAATTAAGATAACTTAATAATTCTTTAGTAATTTATTGTTTTGAATAATTACTTAATAATATAATTAATTATTTTTCATTCTAAATTAATTACTTTTTTAATTTCTACCTTTAAAGTTATGTTATTTTTTACTATTTCCTTAGTTATTGTAAAGCCCGAAAAAAAAATTAATAAAATTTTGTATCTTAACTCATATTTCTATTTTTTAAATATAGCTTAAGAATATTAATAAATATTTATATTTTTATTTAAAACTTTATTTATTATAAATAAATTAAATTTTTGAAGAGGGAAATAAAAAATAAAATAATTAAAAATATATGATATATGATAATATTGTAAATAAATAAAAATATATAATTTAAAACCATATTCGTTCTTTTTTTGCTTTAAAAATATTTATCGATAATTTTTTTAGATTAAAATATTTAATAAATTTATATTAAAAAGTTAAATTAAATAATCTTTTAAATATAAAAATACATAAAATTATTGTCTATCTATTTTTTATATAAAATAAAAATAAATTGATCTATATAAAAATACAAATAATTAAAAATCTAAAATACAATTATATTTAGAAAAAAAAAAAAATTAGTGTAATATTAAATGTAATAATTTAAATTTTTTAATTAATTATTAACTTTTATTAATTAAATATTTAAAAATTTTTACTATTAATATACTTCATAATATTATTCTAAATCAATTTTTTATAATTAATTTTTTTTCATAATTAATATATTATAATATTTTTTTTAATTCATATATTTAATTTATTATTTAAAAAATGAATTTGTTAAATAAGTTTATAGATTTATTTATCATATATATAAAATTTATTTAATTTTATTTCATAAATCTTAATTAATATCTTCATTATTATTATCTTAATTTAACTCTTTATTTTGATTATCTTTTTATTCATCATCTATATCATTTATTATTTATTCTAAGCTTTTAGGTGGAGGTGGCTTTTATATTATGATATAAATTTTAATATATAAATTATTATACCAATTTATGCTCTAACTTTTAATATCCCCAGTCTAAAATATCATCAAATGTTTATTATCCAAAACCTTCAAAAATTAAATATAAGAATATTATTAAAAAAAGTCGATGTACTTTAAATTTATTTTCTTTCTTAGGATAGTATATAAATGAAGTATGCCATAATAAAAAATCCAAAAAATCTTGCAATTATTTCTATTTTACCATCTTGACATCTTTTGCATGACATTAAAGGCTTAAATGTATCTATAATTCCAACATCCTTTATTTTTTTAATTTAAAAAATAATTTATTTTTACCTCAAAGAAATTAGGAAATATATAAAACTCAAATCCAAAAACCCTTAGTAATAAAAACAAAAACAATCTAATAATAATAATTCCAAGCTTTTTAATATTTTAAGAAATTAAAAAATAATACTTTTTTAATTTTTTATTTATACCAAAAAATACAAAAGTATTAAAGAAATATAAAATATTATTCTCTTAAACGATAAAGGCCATATAGGGAACAAACATATTAAAGCTACTGCTAATAATATTGCAGTCATATAGAAATATGTTCTTTTGCTTTTTACTTCAAGTGTGAAAAAATATAAGCTTTTTTTAATCTCGCTTTAAGGTGAATGTTAAATCTATTTTTTAAATTTTTATTTATCACATTTTTTTTAAAACTTTATTAAGAAATAATTTTGTAGGGTATTTTAATTTTGTTTTAGCTTCTGGATCTCTATCTAATCTTGCAATCAATTTAATGTCTATTAAACTTATATATTTAATTTTTAATTTTATTTTATTTTATTTTCATTTTTTTACTATTTAATAAATTCTTGATACTCATTTTCTTTGATTTCTGTTTTCGGTTAATAATAATCTTTAATAATAGAATAAATTTAATCTTTATTATTTTCGAAAATGTTCGATAAATCATCACCTTTTTTAAAAAAATAAAATAAAAAAATAAATTAAATTTTACTTCTGAAAAGTTAATTCTTTAATCATAAAATATTGCTTATTTTTAAATAAGTTTTTTTTAATTCAATAATATTATTAAATCTTAGTATGCTTTTTTTTCCTTAGCTTTTTCTTATTCTATTTTTTAAGTGATTTATTATTATTGCTAATCTTATTATTATTCTTAACTTTTTTACTTTTCTTATTTCATTTGGATATGCTAAAAAAAATTAAATTTTTTAAATAAATAAATTTATACAAATACAAAAATATATTTTTATTTAATTTATTTATTATCATATAATATTATTAACTAATATTATATTTATTTAATATTAAGAAAAATTATTCATAATTTAAAAAAAAAAAAATTGAATAATAATAGGCACATTCATATTTTCTTGAAAATTTATTATTAAAACTTTGAATATTTATTTTAATAAAAAATATATATATTAAAAAAAAAATCACATTTCAATTAATTATAGTATTAAAAAGAAAAGTATAAATTTATTTCTCAATAATTTTTTTATATAAAAGAAATATAAATTTATTTCTCAATAAATTTTTTATATAAAAGAAATATATTTTTAAGTTTTTATAATTTTATATTATTAAGTATTTAATATATTTTTAATTTTATAATAATGAATATTTATATAATTATAAATATATAATAAGTTTATACAATTGAATGTAATTATATTTTAAAGTTATTAATTAGTATAATTATAATATAGAAATTAAAAATAAACAAGATTATTGGATTTTATAAATATTATAATGAAATTAATCTATTTCTCTAAACAATTTTTTAAATAATTAAAAATATACATATTGTGGTTTGCTAATGCAGTTTTATGATTTCCAACAGTTCAATTTTTTTCCAGCCCGCAATTTTTACGAGAGGAATATATATTTCAACTACAAAAATGCTATTTGTATTATAATCGTGTATTATTTATGCTTAAAATCATAAATTAGATATAGGTTTGATCAGATGTATAAGGTAATCAA